CAAGCAGGTAAGAAAAGAACAGGAAACAGAAAACAAATAATGAAATGGCACATTTAAGGATAAGTCTGTCTGAAGGTCTACTCGCACAGCTGGAGGTGGCCCAATGGCAGGTATTTGCTAAGAAGGGGACGGGGAGGTGGCTTTGAGCAAGAGGCTGCCAGATAGGGTCTGTGTCTGAAGGGCTCTCAATACCTGCACAGAGGTATGGAGGGCTGAAGGGACAGCAATTTGGGAAATTTTGAGAAGGCTGGTCTGAAGAATCTTGGTGTATGTGTGTGTGTACGGCGGGTTAGATGAGAATGTACTGAAAATTTGGGGGGCTAGATCAAAGCAGGATTCCAGCCCGCTGGGGCTGCCATAGCACCACTGAGTGAAGCCATAGTCTGTGGGCAGGGGGTATGGAACATCAACTCCCCGCCCACTCAAACAGCACTGGAGCCAGAGTGGGGTCAGAGGGCCAGCTCAGCCGTGAGGCCTCACACAAGAGACTTCCTCTTTCCAACCCATCCTACCTAGTCTAAAATGCAGCATGCCTCCTGCCTGAGGGGCCACAGTGGCATCTCCAGGTCTTGGGTACATTCTATCCTAATGCCCAGTCCCTGTCCTGTCCCTAGTTCACTCTGGAGCTGCCATTCCATCTCCCCTTTACCCTGTAGCCTCGTCCCACTCTTGAGCTAAGGATTGGTGGCTTGAAGCACCAGGGCCTGACAGGGAAGGAACAGAAAGGGCCATTTGGCTACAAGCTGGCCTGTCTCCCCAGTGTCCCCAGGGCTGCCAAATCCTCTTGTGCTGAGTGTTCACAGGCACCTGGCTTTTCATTTACATCTCACTCAGCAGGAAGGGGAAAGGTTTTACCTGGATTTTTTTTTTTATTAAGATTTATTTATTTATGCATACAAGAGCTGGAGTACAGGCCAGAGATGCAGGGGGATGATAGGATTCACCAGAGACAGAGCGGGAAGCAACAGGCAGACGGACTAAAATACACTGCTGAGGGGAGCAGCGGGCGAGACAGGAGAGGTCTGCCTCACCATGTGGGTTGCTCCCTGGCTGGCGATCGAACTCGTGCTGCAGAGGCTGTGGATTGCTTCATAGTGTGGTGCTTAACCCCTTGCACCACCAGGGAGACCCTTTACATGGTTTTTGGATTTCAATGCAGTCTAAATTCTAGCTCCTATCCTTATTAGCTGTGTGACCCAGGGCAAGTCATTTCCCCCTCTGAGTCTCTCTAATCTGTCTAATGGGCAGGACCTCTAGGGGAGCAGATGGTGTTGAAGATCATATGACTGTGTGCAAAAAGCCTAGAAGGAGGCCTGACATGCAGTGGGTTGTCCTTAAGATATTTCTAATTCCGCTAAATCCCATCATCTCCAGTCCCAGAAATATGCTTTTGCTGACCCACAGGCCTGCAAGCCCTCCAGTTAGTACCAGCTTCCTCAGAGCATTCTTGAAAATTCCTGTGGGCTCAAGAAAAGGAGAACAACAGATTTAATTAACTCCCAGTGACTGGCAGCATCGTGTTTCTATCTGGGCTGCGTCGCCATGGCAGCCTCATGGTGGGGCTGTGGAGGGGGCGGGTGGAGCTATTGTTCCTGCCATTGTCTGTTCTGGAACGCAGGCACCAGGAGAAAGGAACTGGCACAGGCACCAAATGGCACATGACACAAGGCAACCAAAGAGTCAGGAGCCATCTGGGGAGAAGTGTGGTGTGATCTATGGCCTGGCTTCCCCCCAGCTTGCTCCCAGACTAAGACAGCTCAGGCCCACGGAGCTGCATGTGTGTGCACCTTGGGCACGCTGAGGATGGGTGTCTGGGGCTCCTGGATGGGCCCGCAAAGCTCAAGCAGCAGCTCTCCCCCACCCCATGCTAGGGCTGTGGCTAGACTTGGGTTCAAATTACAGCTCTGCTAGCTGCCATCTACACAGCGAATTGCTTCCCCCACTCCCTCATCTATAAAGTAGGAATAATTCCAGTTACCCCAAGGGTTGTGTGTTAAAGCCCCTGGGTATAAGATATTCAGGAAGGGCCCATTTCTGTTCTGCTACAGTGGAGAACACTCGCCTGCCATCAGTCAGGCAGGACCCCCTCCTACATACCCCAGGATAAAAGGTTCCCTTTAACTCTCGTTGTGGTGAGGAAGTGGAACCAGGGCTGCCCATCTGCAGTGGTGAGGGTCTAGGAGTACAAAGACCAGCTAGTGTTCGCTCTTCATAGATACAAAGAAATTGGGGGAAAGCGATGCAGCGGCCCGGATCTAGAAGGGCAGGGCCAAGTGGGGCTGCAAGCGAGGGTAGGAGGCACGGGAAGCCGCGAAGGAGCTGGGATCCGGCGGGCGGAGGCGCCTAGAGGAAAGGAAGAGAGGGACCTGCCCACGCCCGGCGGCGCAGACAAAGGCAGGGCTGGTGGCGCGCAGTGGCAGCCGGACTCGCACGCCCAGCCCCCACCCCGGGCGGCGCGGACCCGGCGGCCGCGGGGCGGGCGCGACGTTCCTCGACTCGGGCAGCCGGCGATACGTGGTCCAGACTGCCGGGCTGCCAGGCGCGTGCACGGGGCTGAAGCGGGGCGCCGGAGCGCTGCTTTTGGGGCTCCAGATGGACCAACATTTCCCCGCCGCAAAGCCAGCGCGCCGAGACGCCGCCGCGGCCTCCTGGGAAGTCTGCCCGCGGGTCTCAGGCCCCGGCGGGGCGGGGTAGCTCACGCCCCGGGGACGTGGGAGCAGGGCCCGGCGCCCCGAGCCGAGCCCGGCCCTCGCGCGCCCCCTGCCGGCCCTCCGGAGCCCCCTCCGCGCCAGCGCCCGGCGGCGGCGCCGGGTCCCGCGCAGCCCCGGGAACACCCGGCCGGGGAAGCCCGGGCGTGACGTCATCCCCGCCCGGCCGTCCCCGGGCCCGGGAGCGCGGGGTCCCCGCAGCGGCGGCCTCCCCGGGGCCGCGCCGGGGGCGGGGAGCCGCGGGGGCAGCACGCCCTCACCGCCCGTGTCTGTCCCGCAGGTCCCGCGCGGCCCCGGGTGAGGCTCCCGCGCCCCGCCGGCGCCATGGGAAGGAGCGGGCGCCGCTGCCGCCGTCCCCCGCCGACGCGCGCGCCACCTGCGCCCCGCCGCGGGCAGCCCCCGGCCGCGGGCCCCGAGTGACGCTGGCGGCGCCTGGGAGCGTGGCGCGGGCCCGGGGCCGCGCGGAGGAGCCCAGCGCCCAGTGAAGCAGCGAGGACGCCGCCGCCATGGTCATGTCCCAGGGCACCTACACGTTCCTCACGTGCTTCGCGGGCTTCTGGCTCATCTGGGGGCTGATCGTCCTGCTGTGCTGCTTCTGCAGCTTCTTGCGCCGCCGCCTCAAACGGCGCCAGGAGGAGCGACTGCGCGAACAGAACCTACGCGCCCTCGAGCTGGAGCCCCTCGAGCTGGAGGGCAGCCTGGCGGGGAGCCCCCCGGGCCTGGCGCCGCCGCCGCCGCTCCGCGGCCGCCTCGAGGCGCCGGCGCACGCGCACCCGCACGGGCACGCGCACCCGCTGCTGCACCACGGGCACGCGCACCCCCACGCGCACGCGCACCCGCACGCGCCGCCGCACCCGCCGCCGCCGCACCTCTCGGTGCCGCCGCGGCCCTGGAGCTACCCGCGCCAAGGTAAGTGCCGCCCTCCCGCGGGGGCGACGCGGGCGCCGGGGGGCGGGCTCGGCCCCGGGGCGGGCTCGCCGCTCGCCCGCGCGGCCCCCGCGGAACCGCCTCCCGCGCCGCGCGGCGGAGGAAGCGGGCGGGCCGGGGACTGGGGCCGGCGCCCGCCCCCGGGAGAGGCTGGGAGCGGGGGCCGCACCCACCGGGACCAATTCCCGTTCCGCAGCGGAGTCGGACATGTCCAAGCCGCCGTGCTACGAAGAGGCGGTGCTGATGGCCGAGCCGCCGCCGCCCTACAGCGAGGTGCTCACGGACACGCGCGGCCTCTACCGCAAGATCGTCACGCCCTTTCTGAGCCGCCGCGACAGCTCCGAGAAGCAGGAGCAGCCGCCGCCCAGCTACAAGCCCCTCTTCCTGGACCGGGGCTACTCGTCCGCCCTGCACCTGCCCAGCGCCCCGCGGCCCGCGCCGCCCTGCCCCGCGCTCTGCCTGCAGGCGGACCGCGGCCGCCGCGTCTTCCCCAGCTGGACCGACTCGGAGCTCAGCAGCCGGGAGCCGCTGGAGCACGGAGCTTGGCGTCTGCCGGTCTCCATCCCCTTGTTCGGGAGGACTACAGCCGTATAGAGGGGCGCCACCCGCGGACTCCTGGCCTGACTGCGGGGCTTTTTAAATGCTCCCCTTAGACTGCAGGGGGGTGGGGGGAGGGAGGGAGGGATTTCTTACCCCGTTTGTTACATTTTGAGGATAATAAAGGTGTGTGATCTGGTTTGGTACAAGCGGAGGGGGCACCCACTGCTTGCGCCCAAAGGCTCTGGCGGCCAGGCGTGCCACCAGGGGATGGAAACCCAAACGCACTTTCCGGCTACAGCTCGCCCGAGAACACACAGTTAACACCCGGGGTCAGCCTGCTTCAGACCAGAGGATGGTTCCCTTAGGATCTCAAGCCCCACCTTCCCTGTCTTTGATTTCTGGTCGAGGGCGCCCTCCCCTTTTCTGCCCAGGGGGTGGAATTGGGATGGGGGGAGGGCGGGAGGGGTGACCCACCCCAGAACAGCCCCTGGAGGCCGGGAGCAGCAGGCCCGAAGGGATCTGGATTTCTTTATTAACAGACATGAGCACGACCCGTTACAGAAGTTTGTGCTTTCCAAAAAACAGTTACTGAACGTGAAAAAAGGAACCCAAGCAAAGAGGGAGGAGTCGGGGAGGGGCCGCCCAAGCCCTAGGCCCCACCCATCGCCCTGACTTGAATCACGCCTAGGGCCTCCAGCCTGGGACCTGCCCAGCAGGAGGGGGCAGGAAAGGGCTGGGGAGCTGAGGGGCCCCAGCTGGGCCTGCTACTTCCTTTTGGCCAGGCGGGGAGTGGTCAAGAGAAGGGCGGGGATGGGGTCCCAGGGAGCCAGAGCCCACGAGCCATTTATTGCCATGTTTTAAAATTCGTGCAAAATATCTGAAGCCCTGGACAGAGAATACAAAGTGATTATTTTTCCAAGAAACATAAAACTAGGAAAGAGGTGGGGGGACACTTTCCCACCAGAGCTCCCCACCACGCCAGGCCCCAAGCAGGGTGAGGCCTCCACCCCCGCCAACTAAGTGACCGGGGAGGACTAAGAGCTACAATCAGGACCGGGCGGGGAGGGGGTGGAATCTGCAACAGCGTCTCAACTACCAACGGGAGGAAAACCAGTCAACTGTACAAGTCTCCTATCAACTTTAAAAAAAAGAGAAAAGCTGTAAAAGTTGGGCCCTGTGGGTAGGGAAGCGGCCATGTCCCCGGCGAGGGCCGGATCCGGAATGGGTGCCAGGCGGAGCTGCTGCGAGCGCAGACCCAGCGGGCCGTCTGGCCGGAGGCCGGCACAGGTGGGCGGCCTTGGCAAGGGCAGCCTGAGCCTGCTGGTGCCTTGGCTAATCACCTCCCTCGAAGCCCTCCTCCTCTTCAGGTACTGGGTCTGCATCCCAGCAGGTAATGTCGATTTCTACGGTGTTTGGAAGAGAGATGAATTAAAGAGATGGCCCAGCAGATGGTTGTGTCATCCAACTCCGGGAAGCTGTGCTCACTGTAAGTGCGCGTGGAGGCTACTTGCTCACATCTTAAACCCAACATCCCCCCCAACCCCCCAATCTTCCCATTAACCTCCCCACTACTACCTGGAGGCTTGCTGTAGAACATAGGAGGCGGAGCCTTTGCGCACAGCTCTTCCGATTGGGCAAATTCCTCCTCCTGTGATTGGCTGAAGTACCCCTCACTGGCCTGCTGGACGAAAGCACCAGGTCACTGGGCCCCACCCAGCAGGACTAAGGCCGACCTACCAGGCCTGGGCCGGTTTCTCTAGCAACCAGTGATTCCAGCAGTGGTTGCCAAGGAAACAGATGCCTACCTTGGGAACAAAAGCATAGTTGGCCCAGGGAAGGTGAATGTAAAGGAGCTTCCCCTAATAATGTGGGTCACCACGAAAGGGGGTGGGGGTGGGGGGGAGTACTGCTGCAAATCCCAAGAATGCAGGGTCTGTTCCCTGAACCAGCCCTGACTCCCAGCCCCCCACCACCAGGCTACCCATGCCCAACCTGGGTCCCCTCCTTCTGGGTGGTCTCGCCATTGGTCAGCAGGTGGGGCTCTGATTCCAGCTCTGGCTCCTGATCCAACTCTTCTATAGCTGCAACCAGGGGTTCCCCTTCTATTTCCTCCTCTGGATCACAGAAGGTAGCTGGTGGCTCAGGCAGCTCATCAAAATTGAGAAGATTGGCACAGCCTTCACCTGCTGGGGGCAGTGGCTCTGGAGCCACCTCGTCCAGCAGGGGTACCTCTGCCAGAGCGACCTCAGCACCCGAGGGTGGAATAGGAGCACTAGGCTCAGCCTGGGGTGCGGAGGCCCCTTCCCCATTGCCAGGCCATAGGTCAATGAGGCTGGCAGCGGTGGGGGTGACAGTGTTGGCAACAGCGGTGTCAGCAGCGGCAATGTTGGTTTCAATGGCGTCAGCTGCTGGGATGTTGGCCATTGCAGGCTCCAGAGGGGCAGCCAGGACAGCCTGCTCAGGAGATGCCATGAACATCAAGTCCTCCGTGGGGCTTCCTGGACCCCTGGGAGGCTCTGGTGCCTGAGGGGGCTCCTCCATAGGGCTGGCCCAGGCCTGAGGGGCTACTGCTCTGGCCTCCTTGCTGGTCTCTTCATTATCCAAGCCAGGGCTGGGTTCCTGGATCTCTGTCACAGCACAGATGGAGGAGACGGAATCAGCTCTCCCTTGGAGAAGGCTGCAGTCACTGGGCAGCTACCCTCCAGTACCCTGCCCACCCACTCACTGGAAGTCAGTGACTTCCAGGAAAAATGGCCTCCACTGAGACATCCATTCAGAGCACCGTCCAGTACCACTGGGCCCTGCTGCCCTTTACCTAGTGTTTTAAATTTGCCTGGGAGGAAGGCCCACTCCTGGGAGAGAGACCTAGGCTCAGGTGGGTCTAACTCAATACACTTCCAGGCCAGCAGTCTGTGTGGGTGATTGGTGGCCCAGATGCCTAGGAAGTTGTTTCCATGGCCACCTGGGTTCCCAGACCTAGGGCCCCTCACTCACCCTGGGCTGGTGGGAGTGGTGGTGGCAGTGGTGGAGGCTGTGAGGATGTGACCTCATCCAGGGCCTTCTCTATCTGTTCAGCGATGGGAGTGGAGGCCGTGCTGGAGTCAGACGGGCTCCGGGTGGGGATGGGAGTGGGTGCCATCCTCCGGTGGCTGTCCAGGTGGCTGCCTGTGGAACAAACCCCGAGGCTGGTCACTGAAGGCCAAGGAGCCAGGTGGGACCAGGACTGTCCACCTTGGACCTCTCTGGAGTCTGAGTGGGGGCTGGGAGCTCCCCAGGCACCCGGGGGGGCCAGACCACAGCTCCAGACCCTGTAAGCCAGGCCCCTGGGGGCCAGAGCCCCTTCAGGGCCAGGGGAAAGAGGCAGGCAGTACCTGCTCTGGGGACAAACGCCAGAAATCAGCGGTCAGGCTGGGGGAGTGAGGCTGGGAAGCGGGGCCCTCCTTACCCCCCCGCCGAGGCCAGGGGCTGCTACCTACATGGGAGGGAGGAAGAGAGGTTTGGGGTGCGGTGACAGGTGATATAGGGAAAGGGAGTCCGTGGAGGGGAGGAGGAGGAAGAGGAGGAGGAGGAAGGCCCACTGTCCGATGCCTTTATGAAAGGGCAGTACGGACGACCTGCCGAGAGAGAGAGAGAGAGAGAGAGAGAGAGAGAGAGAGAGAGAGACAGACAGAGAGAAAGACAGAGGACAAGAAAGGGTCAGTCACCCCCACCCCAAGGCCTCACCCGCCCCCCCAGGGGCTGGCCCTGGATGTCCAAGCTGCCTTCAGCCAGGGTGCACATTCAGCCAAGCTGGGCCACAGTCTCAAGCCAAGAGCCAACTCCCACCAGCACCAGCAACACACAGCAAGGAGCCCCCACACAGCCAGTCTGAGCAGCACATGCCCAGGACAGACTGCCCAGCTGGATCCCCAGCACTGGGCCAAGCACAGGGCAGGGGCAGACACATCCACACCAGCAGACAGAATGGAAGGATGCGCTACGGGGACACAGAAGCTGCAGAGAGAGTATCTCATCAGGGAACACTGGTGGAGGCGCACAGGCTCCAGGCTGCTCCGACTCAGCCACAAGGGAAGAGCCCACCCCACATGCACCCACAGCCCTTCAGGCAAAACCTTGTTCAACCCCCACAGGACTGCTGTAGCCCAGGGAAGCCTGAGGCCGGGCCAGAGCTGCCCAGAGAGCTTCCAGCACTACCCACTCCTCTGGCCAGGGCGCTACAAGGTCCATCCCAGCCTTTCTCAGTCCTGCACCCCCACATGCGGCAGTGGTGGGAAGCACATTTGATGAATGGCCTTGCCTCCTCCAAGGAGTCCTGGGGCAAGGCTCCCCTTCTGAGAAAGAGTCCCAAAGAGGGTCAAGGCCAACACCTGAGGAGTGGGGGTCAGGTGGGAGTGGGACCAGGACTACCTGGTCGGTGATTGAAGGGCGAGGGCACATCACAGCTGCCTGCAGAGGCCGATGCGACTCGTTCCTGCTGCTTGAAGAACTCCCGTGGGTTGTCAGGCCTCTGGGCAATAATGGCCGCTGCCTCCTGGGAGTACACGGAAGGGTTCAGGGCCAGGTTGGACCTTGCTAGGGCAGTCTTGCCAGCCTCACCAGCCCTCACCTCTACTTCACCTCACAGCTCTCACCTCTACTTCCGATTCTGACTTCTTCATCTGGGTCTCTTCCTCCTCATCCCTCTGGTCACCCTGGAAAACAAGTGATGTGTCCTAGGAACCCCACCCCCACAGGAGCTGGTGGTCTCCTTACAGTCCCCATATTTTTTGCCATAGTCAGGCATGAAGGGATGGAGTTGGCCCCTCTGCCCCCTTCACCTCCCCATCATGAGTCCCCTAGCACAACTCAGCTTCTCCTGCTCCTTTACCCCCACATTCAACCAGACACCTGGGGCCTTTCAGGAGTGCACTCTGCTTTATAACTAACGCTTCTTGGACCCACCCTTGATGCCTGGACTATGGCTTCATGACTGAGACCTCCTCATTCATCCCTTGCCTCCTTGCTCTTGTCCCCTAATTTGTGTACTTCGGTCCTGCTGCCTGTTCTGCTCTCTGCTCTGGCTCTGGTGAATTCTCTCACCCTGCTGCGCTTCTGACTATACCCAGTGTTTGTACAAATAAATAAATAAATCTTAAAAAACAAAAAACAAAAAAAAACCAAAAAGGTGACCTACTGAATGGGAGAAGATAGTTGCAAATTATGATCTGAATATTCAAGATGTATTAAGAACTCAATGGCAAACAAAACATTCCAATTAAAAAATAGGGAGAGGATGGATGGGCCTTCCCGCAGCAGTTGAGCGTTGGGCTGCGAAGCTGCCCGCAGCCTCTGCAGTGCCGGTTCAATCCCCGGCCGAGGATCCCACATGGCATGCAGATATCTCCAGCCGTGCCCGCTGCTCCCCTCAGCAGTGTACTTTGTCAGTCTGCCTGTTCTGCTCCCCTGTTCTGCTCCCCGCTCTGGCTCTGGTGAATTCTCTCACCCTCTCTCGCTTCTGACTGTACCCAGTGCTTGTATAAATAAATAAATAAATCTTTAAAAAAAAAAAAATAGGGAGAGGAGCTGAATAGACATTTTCCAAAGAATAGATACAGAATATATACTGATGACCAAGACAGGCATACATAAAAAGGTGTTCAACATTATTAGTCATCCGGGAATGCAAATCAAAAGTTTGTGTGAAGGTATCACCTCACACCTGTCAGAATGACTATTTTCAAGAAGAGATAACAAGTGTGGGCAGGATATAGAGGAAACGGAAGCCTTATGTACTTGCCGGCGGGAATGTAAATTGGTGTAGTCACTATGGAAAACAATGAGGATCCAAAAATAAAAAATAGAACTACCATATGATCCAGCAACTCCACTTCTGGGTATTTAACTGAAGGAAACAAAATCACTAATATGTATGCACCCCCACGCTCACTGCAGCTTTATTTACACTAGCCAAGGCATGGAAGCAACCTAAGTGTCCACTAATGGATGAATGGATAGAGTAACAGAATATTACTCGGCCATAAAAAGGAGGATATCTTGCCATGTGTGAGGCGCTTGACAAGTCCTCATATCTTTTAAGATTTATTTATTTATGCATACAAGAACTGGGATGTAAGCCAGAGGTGTGAAGGATGAGAGGATTCACCAGAGACAGAGTGGGGAGCAGAACAGGCAGATCTACTGCTGAGGGGAGCAGCGGGTGAGACAGGAGAGGTCTGCTGTGGCATGTGGGTTAGCTGCTTGGCCAGCGGGGACTGAATTCATGCTGCAGTGGCTGGCGATAGCTTAATAGCACTGTGTCTTTAACCCCTGCACCACCAAGGAGGTCCTGGTCCTCATACCTTGAGAACATTATGCTAAGTTAAATAAGTCAGAATGAGAAAAACAATGTGAGGCTACGATTTCACTTACATGTGGAATCTAAGCCCCTCCCCCCCCAAAAAAAAACAACCAAGCTTATAGTAACAGAGAATAGATTTAGTATTTACCAGAGGCTAGGGGTGGGAGACTCGGGAAATGGGTGAAGGAGGTCAAAAAGTACAAACTTCTAGTTATAAAATAACTAAGTCCTTCTAGTTATAAAATAACTAAGTCATGTATAGCATGATGACTACAGCTAATAATACCTATCATAGCAAGTTGCTAACACAGATCTTTTTAAAAAGGGGGCTTCCATGAGCCATAGTAAGGATTGGCTGAATATGGCCCAACATGGTTTTTGTTTTGCTGGTATTATGTTTTTAAATACATTAATTAGTTGCCACCGCTTCAAAATCAGGAAGTTCAAAATGGGGAACTCTAGTTTTCTTGAAATGCCAGAAGCTCTGACAACATTAGTCTCTATTCCCCAAGGTAGCCACTGACCAGAGCTGTGCTGTTGCCACCCGGGCACTGAGTGTGCGCTGTCAACTTTGCTGCAGTCCACATCAGTCCCTACTTACATCACATGTCCATTTCACTATGTTTCAGGATTGCAACCCTAGGTTTGCAGGGCCCACATTCCCTCCCCCTGCTGTATCTAGCCCCTGCCCTGACTCACCCACATATCCTTTGAGATGAAGAGATCAAGTCATCAGCACAGTGTGGCTGGAGCTCCTAGACTCTGCATACCATTCTCCACCTCCATACCTTGGCCTGGGAGAGGAATCTCTTATTCCCCAAATGCCTGACCCCCACCCAGGTCTAACTCTTCCCATTTCTGGCCTCAGTATGGGCACGGATTCCTGGGGAGAGGTCCCTGGCCTAGTCAGGTCATTTCCTTCTCTGGGCCCCATAAGGTGTTCCAGGCACACTGCAGATGACTGTCAAAATTTCCTGTCTCTGGGATCACCTTCCCTACCCCTATGTGGGTGACAGAGAATGAGAACCTGAGTCTGTGGGTACATGGCCAGCACAAGGTTTGGCTGATACATAGCTGCTCAAACAAATTCACTCTACCAAAAGCCTCTTAATTGGTGCCCCCTGGTATCCCTGTGGCTAATGGGACAGAAGAGACTGATATAGGTCAAGAAAAAGCTGCAGGGTAAGATGCTGAAGTAACAGGGGCACATAACCACAAACTTTTATGTCATGGTGCATTAGGGGACTGACCCTTCAGAGTAACCCCCCTTGAGGATTGTCACTCCAACTACAACTTTGTGTCCTCCTGAATGAAATGTAAAGTTCTCTGACCTTGCTCTCTCTTCCCAACTTTCCCCTGATCCTCATCCACTGCACTCTAGCCAGGCCCTTGCCTTCTCATAAGTGTGTATCCCACCAGCCTTTGCTGGTACTCTGCCCTCTGCTATGGTAATATTGCTAGGGTCCTCAATCTTGTTCAAAAAAGGGCCAGAGGCAGCTTACCACAAAAAAAGTTCAAACCACCAACAATGTGAACAGCATCAACACAAGTTAGAAAAATGGGCATGACAGAGCGCAATACACTAACAATTAAGGTCAAGAGCACTGGAGTGCATGAGCACTTTCAAATACATGGAGACCCCTGGCTGCCCAAGCAAAAAGGGCACTCAGACAAGGAATGCAATTTTTAGATAAGAGAAAGCAGAATAAGCTTTCTTAAGCTAAGATAAAACACTTTATAGTTCTAAATCCCAAAGTTTGTCATTTGGAACCTTCCTTAGAAGACCTTAGAAGACAATTGTAATTGTACTGCCATCACACTGACCTGCTAGAACACCCATCCATTTTCATAAAAATAGTTTTTTTCAAAAAGACCTTGCTCTGGATGGGTAAGATGTGATGTATACACACAAATGGCATTACTAGCCTTAAAAAAGGAACAACACTCTGATGAATATTGAAAACACTATACTGGGCCTCCCCAGTGGCACAGCGGGTTGAGCGCAGCGCTATTAAACTGTCTGCAGCCTCTGAAGCGCGAGTTTGATACCCAGCCAGCCAGGGAGATACCCACATGGCACGGCAGACCTTTCCTGTCTCGCCTGCTACTCAACAGTGTTTTCAGGGCCTCCCTAATGGCGCAAGGGGTTAAGTACCACACTACGAAGCAATCCATAGCCTCTGCAGCACGAATTCGATCCCCAGCCAGCCAGGGAGAAACCCACATGGTGAGGCAGACCTCTCCTGTCTCACCCGCTGCTCCCCTCAGCAGTGTATTTCAGTCAATCCACCTGTTCTGCTCCCCACTCTGTCTCTGGTGAATCCTCTCACCCCCCACACCTCTGGTCTATACCCCAGCTCTTGTATGCATAAATAAATCTTTTTTAAAAAGGCTAAGATGATACATTTTACTGCAATTAAAAATAAATTTATCGGGCCTCCCGGGTGGCGCAGCGTTGAGCACTAGGCTGTGAAGCTGCCCGCAGCCTCTGCAGCGCCGGTTCGATCCCCGACCGACCGCCGGCGAGGGTCCCACATGGCACGAAGACCTCTCCTGCCGCAACCGCTGCTCCCCTCAGCAGTGTACTTCGTCAGTCTGCCTGTTCTGCTCCCCACTCTGGCGAATTCTCTCACCCTCCCGCACTTCTGACTGTACCCAGTGCTTGTATAAATAAATAAATCTTTAAAAAAAATAAATTTATCAATTAATTTTAAAAGATCTTGCCCATCTTGGGCCTCCTTGGTGGAGCAAGGGGTTGAGACGCAACCTATGAAGCGATCCACAGCCACTGCAGTATGAGTTCAATCCCCCGGCTAGGGAGCTACCCACATGGTGCAGCAGACCTCTCCTGACTCGCCTGCTGCTCCCCTCAGCAGTGTATTTCACAATCTGCCTGTTGTGTTCCCCACTCTGTCTCTGGTGAATCCCCTCACACCCCAACCTCTGGCCTGTACCCCAGTTCTTATATGCATAAATAAATAAATCTTTAAAAAAAAAAAAAGATCTTGCCCATCTTGATTTCCACATGTTTCCAACTCCACACATGGGAAGTAACAAGGGTTTATTGCATGAATGACTGATGATGGAATTTACCAAGCACAAATCATCTCCACTCCACCAGGGCCTGATGTGCTTGGAGTCCCCTACAAAGGTCACTTAATGACAGTGGCTGCAGAGCTGTCCTACCTCCTCCCTCCCATCCTCCTATGGGGGGCGACCCTGGAACTGGTTTGCATCCCCACAACCCAGTATCTGTCCATCATAATCTCAATCCAGACCTATATTGCCCACCCTGTGATGTGCTCCATGCTCAGCTATTTCTGAAGGATAAAATTCAATTCAAAGCATGAAGACTAGACTCCACTGTTTTCAAAGGGTCAATCCATAGGTCATCCCAATGTCCGGAGGTTTGTTTAGGTAGCACCGCAGGAGCAAGGGGTGCTCTGAAGGAGACACTGCACACTTGTGCACAAGTGCTCAGAGCACTAGCCAAGAATCATTTGTGGGGCTCTGCAGCACCTTTGTTATGGGTCAAGACCTCAAGCCTCCTAAGTGCGGGAAGCATGCATGTCTAATCCACACCAAGACCCATTGTCTGACTGGGGAGCTGGCAGGGGGAAGCCTGGCTCATGAGGGTCTAGGTCAAAATAGACTGTCTAAAGTGTAAGTTTCTCCCGGGAGATTTCTTTCCACAGACAGAGCCAGAGGCCCACGTCATGGGGTGGCAGGACTGATACTCCAAGACATCCCAAGTCCATGCAGAGGTACTCAGATTCCTAGCAGTGTCCCCAGGTCACTGTTTTCCCCATGAGGCCCAGGAACACAGGGTCCATCCACATTCCCCGACGAGGAAACTGGGGGTCCCAACAAAGAACTTACAAAGATAGATTGCTCCTTCAACCGCCTTTTGGCCTCCTCAGCTTCTAAAGTCTGCTGTTTCCTCCTGGAATGATAAGTGGGCATGTACCCTTTCAGGGCAGAACCACAGATGGACACCACATGGAGCCTGGTGGCCAGGGCTGGGGTGGGCCCACCTGTGCTCCTCGATCTGCTGTTCCCGTTCTCGGTATCGCCGTTCCCGCTCCTCCTGCTCCTGCCGCTCCTGCTCCATTCGCTCTTGCTCAAATCTGAGCCTCTCATCCAGGGCCTTCTTCCGCTCCTCCTCCTTCCTCAACTCTTCTTCCTTCTGCAACCCCCAGGGCCAAGGCAGTGTAGGCCTTGAGCCTGGAGACCCGCCCCTGACCCTCCAGTCCTCCCCAACCTAGGTCTAGGAAGGGCGGTTCTGAGAGTTCAGGGGTTGAGCTCTAAGGACACCAGGCCAAAGGGCTCGCTTTTTCAGCTGCAGGAATACATGGGGTGGGACACACAGCTGAAGGCAGGAACCTAGGGTGAGAAGCCCAGAGCTACCCCATGGGGTAGGATCAGGGGCCCACCTTGGCTTGTTCCCAGAACTGCTCGCGGTTAATGCGCTTCATTTCCACAGCCGCATCCGTCTTCTGATAGGTGGTGCCCTAGAGAGTCAAATGGCCCAGCATGAGCACAGAGGGCAGGCTGAGGATTCCAGAAGCCTTCACACTCACAGGTAAGGACTGTGAGGACTCAAGGCCGGGAGGGGGTGAACACTGACCACGGGCTCCGCATTCTCGTCCTCGCGCAGCCGCAGGCGGTGCAGCACCGGGCTGGAGAGCCGCGCCAGCCCATTGGAGAGCCGTTGCCCAATAGCGCCCGCATCTATGTCTTCCACACTGCTGGCGTTCACGATCACGTCGACGCCCTGTGGCAGGATGGGGTGTTCAGGAAGCATGGCTTCTGCCAGTCAGCATCCCCAGCACACAGTCCCCGAGGCTGGCCGGCGGGCCCCAGGAGCCCCGGCCCCTCCCCTAGGAGACCAGGCCCCTCCGCACCTGAAAGAACTCAGCCACTTTGGCCACATGGCTGGCACAAGCGCATTTTCGGGCATCCGGCACGTCTTCCCCCACCTGCAAAGCATTCAGGGAAAAGGGTGTTGGTAAAGGACATTAAGGGACAGCAGCCTGGGCCTCCCCGGTGGTGCAGCGGTTGAGCGCTGGGTTGCGAAGCTGCCCGCAGCCTCTGCAGCGCCGGTTCGATCCCTGGCTGCTCCCCGGCCACCGGAGGAGGGTCCCACATGGCGCACAGACCTCTCCTGCCGCCCGCTGCTCCCCTCAGCAGTGTACTTCGGTCCTTCTGCCTGCTCTGCTCCCCGCTCTGGCTCTGGTGAATTCTCTCACCCTCCCACGATTCTGACTGTACCCAGTGCTTGTATAAATAAATAAAAATAAATCTTTAAAAAAAAAAAAAAAAAAAAAAAAAGGGACAGCAGCCTGAGGCCCCTGGCTTTCTTCCCAGGGTTAGTGGGTTTTTTCCAGTGGTATCAGAGGGTGGAGGGTGACTGTTCTGGGGCCTTCCACTCCCTTCCCCAGCCCAGAGCTGCATACCCAGTTGATGAGCACGTATTTTGGCAGAGCAGCTTGGGAGTCCTTGACACTGCAGAAGCCGTACATCACCTTCTGGTTCTCAAAGTGGCCCGAGAGTTCCTGTAAGCCCCCATCTGGGGGAATCAGGAGGGTGTCAGGACTTCCCCTCCTGAACCCTTACCCACAAAGGGCTTGGAACCCAAAGGAAAGACTCCTCTGTGGGCACCCGCCCCGGAGTCTTCTGGCCTCCAAGACCTGGTCAGGAGCCCAGAGTTCTGGGTTGGTGTGAGAGAGAGACAACAGGCAGGAGTGAGCTTTACCTTTAAATCTTCTGGGCTTAATTTCGAGGTAGGACTGAGGAAGAATTTGTTCACTCATCTTCCTGCCCCAAGTGGTGCTAGTGCCCAGTAAAGTGAAATGAAGCCTTGGGCACTGGAGAAAGTGGGGGTGATCTGGGCCACCCCTGCCAGCCACTTCCTTTCTAGCTGTGTGATTTTGGACAAGTCACTCTCCCTTTCTGAGGCTCAGTCTTATAATCAAACAGGAAACAAGATTCCCTCCCTCCTCACCCTGGGGATTGCAAGAATGATGAGAGGAAGGACACCCGCCAGACAAGTGTAGATCTGCTCTATGCAAGTAAGGAGGTGGCCCGGAGCCAGGAGGATGGGGAAGAAAACAATCCGAGGAGGGGGCGGCAGAGAGGAAGGCAAAGGAATGGCTGGAATTCTTACCTCCTGACGCTGCAAGCTTGAGGTCATCTGAGCCATCCTCATATGTGTACAGAGCCCTGGGAGGAGGGAAGAGTTGCTCAGTCAGCTATGAGGGCCAATTTTGGGTGGGGACAGCTCTGGGGAAGAGGAGGGACACAGAGGGAACAGGACAAGATTGGGGGTTCGAAGCCCAGCACTCCCTGGTAGCCATGACAACAGGGATAGGCACCATTTCTGGCTGGAGGCTCAGTCTTATAATGGGGGCACCCTTGGGCCTGGGTCAGGTGAGGAGTAAGCATAGAGTAAAAACTGCTGCCTGGTAGCTTCACTGCAAGGAAGCCCAGGTGTCGCATCCTCTGAGTCCTGCCTCTGGCAGCCTACAACCCAGGAAGCGAGTGACGGTGTGCACTGATGGAGATTCCAAGGCGACGGTTCCTTGGTTACCGTTCCCTGGCTACCATGCTTCTCATCCCGGATTGGTCGTCTCCAGGAACCTACCTGGCATGTGCATCCCCCCCCCCCCGCCCCCCAGAGAGGGAGGAGTGAGGAAAGAGAACCTAGTGCTAGCTCAGCTCTGGGCATCCCCCCGTAACCATGGCAACCCAGCAATTGGCACACGACTGGCCCACCCCAGCTGCATTCTCCTGAACACAAAGGACCCTAGGGACCCGCCCTCGGCCTCAATCTCCGCCTCTCCGAAATGGGGATGAGGTCATCTCGGTCACTCTCGCCCAGACTATGGTCCCTGGGTGGTTGTGCTCTCCGAGCCGCCCAGCCCCTAGGCCGCCTCCGCCCAAGCCCGGGCCCTGGCCTCCTGGGACTGGGTTATTTCACCAGAAAGCTGACCTACCAGCCTTCCTTCTTCTTCCTGGCTTTTTCAGCCCCAGCTTTTTCTCCCTAAGTAGCAGAGATACAGCATTCGTTTCACCGATGGGAAGGCAGAGCCCGCTCCTTCTGCAGGCCCACTGGGAGGACTGGTCAGGAGCCCTGAAGACTAAGGCGTGCTCAGCCCCTTCCCAAGTGGCACATTCCCTACAGCTGAGACAGGAGACTGGGGCTGGGGGCCGGGAAGGCAAGAGCAGGAAGGTGGAAAGGGAAGGGGGGGAGAGGTGGAGGAAGACCAGGTGGAGGAAGAAAGACCAGAGAAAGGGCTAAAGAGAAGGGATACAGAGAAACTGAAGGAGGGACAGAGGAAAGGAAAGGGGGAGGAGAGCAGGAAGAGAGGGAGGAGGGAGACGGGGAAGGGAGGAGGGAGACCAGCAGGGAGGAGGGTCTGGCCCAACCCCCATGAGGTCAGAGTAAATCCTCCTCGCCAGGGCCAAATGGCAGGGTGACACCCCAGGCCTGGGGATCCCTCCCTTCCCTGAAAGGGACACAGGTGGGCTGTGGGGCCAGGAGGGCCTGGTCCAACTGTTGCCGGAGCCTCAGCCCTGGCAGTTGCTTCCCAAGCACAGCTGTCTCACCACCTGTCCACCACTCTAACCCACCACTGTGAACAAAGGGCCCTCAGAGAAACAGGGGCTGCCCCTCTTCATTCCACAGACAAGAAACTGAGGCAGAATGCAGCGATCCTGGTTCCCACATGGCTTTAGATATGGGAGGACTGACAGCCCTCGCTTTGCCCAGGAACACTGTCCTGCTTCTTCCATGCTCGACCCTCTTCTGCTTGCCTCTGATCACCTATTCTGTTCTCCACGACCCTTACCTGACAGAAACCATAGCCAAGTTCAAAGCCTTCAGCAGGCCTTCAACCCTGAGTTCCACCCCGCCTGCATTTCCAGCCAGATCCTCTGTATCCACACCGGAAACCTGGGTCACACCAAATGGCTCCCTGCATATTGTCCACCCTCGAGCCTTTGCATGTGTGGCTCCCTTCACAGAAAGGCCAACCTGTCTTCTCCACCCCACTCCCACCCCTAGCTGAAATCTCTGAGCACCCCAACACCAGCTCCCCAGAAAGGCCTGAGCTAATCCTCCCAACTGCACCCTCCCTGCACTTAGCACATCCTGGAGGGATGCCAAAAGGTATCTGAACCACCTGCCCCAGGTCTCAGCAGACCAGTACTTCTCAAACACAGGAGAACTACCAGGCGGGCAGGTGGGAGCTCGTGAAGCCACAAGGAGTCGGGGCGGGGGGCCCACATCTCTACGTGTCTCACCAGCTCCAATCCCCAGAAAGACTATAAGCTTTGTCAAGGTGGGGAGTCTGACTCAGTCAATCCACACATGTTGCTGTCTGGGTCCAGGATGCAGCCCAGAGCAATACCAGCAGGAATTTGTGATACTTGACAAACTGAGAAACTATCTAAGCTGAAGTGAGTGGAAGCTGGGATGGAGCAGCTCCAGGAAGATCCAGGGATGGGCTGAGGACAGGTGGACCCCTCAGGACCATCATTCACACTGAGGATGTTAGAACTGGAAGGCCCTTGGGTATCACAGATTTGGTTGAATCTGATCCCCTCTCTCTCTCTTTTCAAAAGGACCGGAGAACAGGGACTATGTGCAGTCACAGTGAGTTATTTTAAATCCACGGCAACACTGACTCTTCCCACTATACGACCTGGCTTCCTGGGTGCCCTGCTCCCAGCACCAGGGCAGTGATCCATCTCTGAGGCCCACCACCTAAGAGAGAACTCCCTCTGGCCCCCTACCAGCCACTCAGAGGCAAGCTAAGGGAGGGTAGGGGCAAGTGCCCTTTGCCCAGGTAGCAATTTTACTCAAGATGCCCTCCTCTGGCCTCTGCGTGCAGGGTCTGCCCCTGAGTCTTGAGATCCTACTTCCTCTTGATTACGTGCTAGGCATTCCTGGCACTCATGCCCTCTTCTGCAGGATAGAATCCTCACACTCTTTTTATGAAATGCTATCTGGGCCCTTGGAGTGCGAGGGTGCGGGTGTGCATCTGTGTGTGTCCCACACACAACCCAGATGGGGGGGTGACGCACACCAGTGATGAATAACTCCTTTTGGCCACATGGATGCTGCTGGGTGGTGGGAGCCCAGGCCTCTGCTGACAGGAGAGGGGCCAGCAGTGGTTGTGTGGTCCTGTTGTCAGAGCTCTGCTTCTGGGGGGGCTGGGGGCAAATGGGATGGTGGTAGACAGCACCCCTCTAGACTAGAAGTCGATGGGGGGGGCCGGGAGTGGACTGTGCCCCTCTCCAGACAGGGCCCATAGCCCAGGCCAACTCCTCCAGCAAGCCAAGCTGGCCACTTGCCCTGAACTCCTCCCATGATCTCAGCCCCCTAGGGGCAGGGATAGGACAACGGGTGGGCCGCCTGCCCGCTTAGCCTGTGCTGGCCTCTCCTGTGACTGACCTGCAGGACATGAGAGCTCATCTCTCGCTTCATCCCTCAAGGCCTGGCCGCCAGCCAGTGCTGCAGTACCATGGCATGGATGCCTGGTCATTTTATCCCCTCCTCCAGCCCCCAGGTCAGTGTCCCTCCCAGCACAAGAGGGAGGCTGGCCCAAGTGGGGCCCCTCAGATCTGCCCTCATTCTGTGCCTCAGTTTCCTGCCTATCAGAGGGAGAAGTCTAGGAAACAGAATGGGCACCTGCTCCATGAGAAGAAAATCTTGTGTGTGGGGGGGAGGGGATAATTCCTGAATGGGGCAGTGTGGAACCCTTGAGCTTTTTCCTGCCACCCAAAAGGACTCCAGTTCCAAAGCAGGTGGTGATCCCCTCCGCAGCTCAGGGGGAGACAACAGCTGGGAAGAGGAGAGAGGGCAGCCCAGCTCCTCTCCCACCAGGAAGCTGCAAGCCTCTTGCCTCTGGACCATGGGACTGGGAGCTCAGCGGGTCTACGGAACCCCTCATCCCTCTCTGGGGGCTCGCCCCACACCTGAGCACTCCTGGGCTTCCTCGCGGGCACCCCAGCTGGCCCCCTAGGCGGGTACTTGGGTTCTCTTGGCATCACCCAGCCTAGCAGTCTAGTCCCTGCAATCCCTTTCAGGTCGGGGAGGAGGACTCATCCCTGCCTCCTCCGCGACCCCAGAGAGAAACAGGAGTCACTTGGCGGTTGCCATGTGGCAATGAACGTCTTTCCATCACACCCAGCACCGCGAGGCCCCCGATGGGCGGGGCGCCCGGCCCCCCACCGGCTCCGCACCTCCCCCGCCCAGGCTTTCCTTTGTGCAGTGGCCGGGCCGGGCAGGGCCGGGCAGGGCCAGGCAGGCTGCGCTGGCTCCGCTAGCTCGGTCCCCGCCCCGTCCCCGCCCGGTCCTCGCCTGCTCGAAGGTGGCGAAGGTGCCCTTGGCCGCCCCGTGCACACCTGTGCCCGGGCCGCGGGTGGGGTGAGGGGGCGGGGGACGAGCTCGCGCCGGCCCCGGGGCCCCGGGCGGCGCATCTGGCCCCAGCGTCCACCCGACCGGCCACCGCTCCCCCGCGCGACTGTGGCCGCCTCCGGGCGCTCGGGCCCGGCTGCGCCCCGCCCGGCCCGGCCCCTCCCCCGGCGCGCACAAAGGCAGCCCCTCCCAGACCCTCCCGAGCCGCTGCACCATTTTGGGGTCTCCCCCCTTCGCCGGCGGCGGGGCCGGTGGAAACAAAGGCGCGCGGCGGCCGCGCGGGGACAAAGGGGCTGGGGGGGCGGGGGCGGGGGGCTCACCAGTCGGCCGCGCTCTCCTCCCGAATCACCTCCTCGTACGCCGCCAGCAGCTCCAGGCGGTGGCCGCTGAAGCTGACGCCGGCCATGCTTCGGGCCGGACCGAGGTCGAACGGACAGACGCACGGACGGACGGACGGACGGACGGAGAAGCAGGGAGAGAAAGAGGGAGTCGCCTTCGCCGCCGCCTCGGAACCTCTGCAGCGCTGCGAGCGAGCGAGCCAGGGCCGGGGGAGGGGAGCCGGCCGGCGGGGGGCGGGGGGCGCTGGCTCCGCCCGGCTCTCTCCCTCCGCTCGCTCGGTCCTAGCGCCGCCTCGGCCCGGCTCAGGGGGAGGCCCGCCCCCCCTTCCCGGCCTGCCCCGGGGCGCCCCCACGCCCCTCTCCCACCGCCCCTGCGCGCCGCGCCCGCGGCTGTTCTGCCCCTCCGCCCCCGAGCCCTGCCCACCCTTGTCCTCAGGCCGCACCTCTCGTGTTGCCAACCTGGTGGCTCACCCTCTTCCCCAGCCCCACATCCAGCCCCATCCCTGCTTAAGCGAGATTCCCACCTCCTCTCTGGACTCAGCTTCATCCCTCTCGTTTGCACTCCTCCTGTCCCAATCCCTAACCCCCTTCAATCCAATCCGCCCCGACCCCACTCCGTGCTTAATTTGTCTCCATCCCAGCCTCACCCACCGCCATCCCTGGTCTATCCTATTCCATGTGTACCCCATTTCCATCCCACCTCCTAACCCCGACCCAATTCCCATTCCAGTTTCCCCAGGCCCATTCGCAGTCCATTCCCATCTCTGAATGGTCCCTTCCTACCCCAGCACCATCCTTTGCCATCTTCGTCCCCTTCCCAAATATGACTGTATTTCTCTCCCATGCCAAGTCCAGCCCTATTTCCAACCCGCGCTTAGCGCACCCCTCACCCATTCACCACACCAAACTTCGCATCCTCCTCCTCAGCGCAGCCTATCTGTTCCCATTCTGATCCCAGTTCGCAGCCACATCCCTCCATCCCTGCCATCTCCATCATTCCCAGCCCCAAACCAGCTCATTATCTCAGCACATCCAGCTTCTTTTGTCCCACCCTTGGGGAGCTGCCTCCTGGGCCCTCTCAGATAGGGCCAACCTAGGAAATCATTTGCTTGCTTGCTTTTTTTATTTTTTAAAAAGATTTTATTTTGTTTATGCATACAAGAACTGGGTACAGGCCAGAGGTGGGGGGGGCGGTGAGAGGATTCACCAGAGCCAGAGTGGGGAGCAGAACAGGCGGATGCACTGAAATACACTGCTGAGGGGAGCAGCAGTGGGGGAGACAGGAGAGGGCTGCTGTACCATGTGCATAGCTCCCTGGCCCAGATCGAACTGCAGTGGCTGTGGATTGCTTCATAGTGCTCACACTTAACCCCTTGTACCACCCGGGAGGCTCTGGAAATCATTTGCTTTCTATCCCAGGTCTCTCCCAGAGGAATCCCATGTAGCATTCCGGAAGCGGAATTTAACACCAAGCTCCCAAGACAGGGCACCCCCAAGGACACTCCAGGGCCAACTACCTGGCACCTTGATTTCCCAAAGCTCTGTACACTGAAGGTGCTGGAGCCTCAGAGAATGTTCAGGAAGGGATGGGAGACTCACTGCCAGGGCCTTCTGGAACCTCTCTGCTCCTTGTTGAGGTGGGGTCTTAAAACCCTCCTGGCTTTCAGAAGCGTTTCCCATCACCTACAAATCCTCCCAACCCCATCTTCCCAGAGCAGGTAATGGAAACTGAGCAAACTACCTGGTCAAGTCTGGAAGTCGTAGAGGAGGAGGCCAGCTGGGCCTCAGAGTCCCCAGCTGGGCATAATCTGCCATGCCAGAGAGAAGACAATAGTGCATGCTGATTATCAGTAGTGGTTCCCAGCACTATGGAATGGGAAGAAACCTTCTAAAACTAAAACATTTCATAGGTCCTTGCCCAGAGACCCTACACCTACCTGGGCACCTGTCCCCTTCCCCAGGAAGGCTTAGCAGGATTTTGGGGAGGGAGGAGACCTTGCAGTAGGGTTGAGGAGTGCCGGGGAACAGTAAGACAGGGACCTTGCACCTCAGCCCTTCTCCTGCTGACTTATACCAGCTCAAAAATCCTCCCACTTTCCCCTCCTGACCCCTCCCCAATCTCCTGTCACTCAAATTCACATCCTAAACATAAGCCCTACATGCTCGAGCGGTCTTCCGTCTTCCCCCATTCCTGCCTCCCGCCCTCACCACCCACAAACTCTTCAGCCACGCCCACTCTCACCTCTTTACCATCTATCTTTTTAAATAAACTTTTAATTTTAGAACAGTTTTAGATATAGAGACACATTACAAAGATAGTACAGTTTTCTCTATTTTCTGTCTCACACCCAGTTTTCTCTATTTTCAGGGGAGCAAGAGGGTTTCAGGCTGGCATGTCCTGGAGCCCACTTCTGGTCTCCTCATCCTTAACTCTTTCACATCATATTCATCCTGCAATTTCTGTATCTGTAACCTGTCTCCTGCTTTCCCCCTTGCCCCTGGCACCACCCTGGTCAAGGTGACTAGTGACCCCTCACTTGCCAAATTCAGTGGCCCAACCGTAGTCCTAAGTTTCCATGGCCACTAGGAGCAGGGTGGCCCCTGATCACTGCCCTCTCTGAGCCCGCATCCCTTCTGTCACCTGCTACCTCTCAAGCTTCTATACCCAGCCTGGGTGGGGCTGCTAGGTACCTCCTTGGAGGTCCTACCACCAGGCTTTCATGACTACCACCCCCAAGTACTGATCATCCTTCAAGTTGTTAAGATATCAGTCCCTCCCATTCCCAAAGTGTGAGCTCCCCCATGTGCTGGGAGGCTAGCCCACTGGCTTCTGTGTCCCTGGTGAGAAAAAGACAAAGACTGGGATCCAGTTGGTCACTTGCTATGTGACCGTGGCTGGAAAGCTTTCCCTCTCCGAGTTTCTTCTTTGAGAGCATGTAAGGCTAAAATGTGACTGTATGGCGGCTTAGAAAGTGAGAGCCCCCTCCCTTCCTCCATGAAGCCCTACCCTGGTCCCTCCCACGCCCCCTTTCCTGTTCAGTGCTCCCCATACCTCTCAGGGAAGGCTTTAAGGTTGAGAGAAGGCAAGCTGACCATAGGATTTTGCCAGCTGATGGTGCCCTTCTCTGCCCTCATCCAGCCTCTGCAAGTTCCTACCAAGCATACCTTTAAAAATGCCCCCATCATCATTAACGTGCTCACAGCATTTCCAGCCCCTGCCTCAGGGCAACCACCTTCACCTTAGCGCTGCTCCTGACAGGTGGGTTGCTGCCGCCCACAGACTGTGCTAACTGGGAACTCAGACTCCTTGCTTGAGTTTTCTTTCTCACTCATTTCCAACTGTGAAGTGCAAACAATAATGATGGTACTTACCTCATGGGATCTGTTTGAGGATTTTTAACTAGAAAGTGTCTAAAATGGCAACTGCACAGAGGAGTTACTACTGATGTGTTGGCTTTTACAGATAGGAAAATCAGAGAGGGTAGCTGCTTGCATTGACACACACAGCCAGTGATGGAAAAGTCTGGATAGGAACCCAGGTCTGTGTGTGTCACTTTCAGCATACCACATGCCATAGAGATTTCTCCTTCAGGCACCCCCATTTCCACAGCCAGGAGTTGGGCTGGCCTGGAATTTGGTCAGAATTAGAGCCTTCAGGGCCTAGGGGAGGCATTGAGAGGAGGAAGTATTCGGGGTGCACTCACTGCCCAGTTTGAGGGGTGGCCCACTACCTGCTCCAGAGAGGAGTGTGTGATCCAGGTCGATGAGCCAGACCTCCAACTGCTCTGGGGGTGGCACATGCCCATTCAGTCCAGTGCCATCAGCCCTGGGACTTTTGCTGGAACCACAAGGAAAGGTTCCACAGGGGTTGTTGGCAGGATGTGGGCCTAGAGCTTCCATCTTTGCCAATAATGGGGAGAGCCACCTGAGAGTAAATCCAGCACCCCAGAAAGCTGAGAGATAGTGAGGGAGAGCCTCTATAATATTCATGGGTACCAGATCAGGCCATGTCTAAAGCCATTCATCTTTTCAGCAATTATCCCTGTTTCTGATTAAACTATTCAGGTGTCAGCTGAAAGTAGAACCCCTAGTAGTGGTCAGTTTTGTCAGTAGCAAGGGACCTGGGCTTGCTGGTCCCCCTGGGACCTGGACAGGAGTGACTAGCCTGGTCCTGGGGCTTAGGGTTGCTCCCTGACCATTCCTTGGTGATTCCATTGCATGATCTCCCAGGGGCTGGTCAGAGCCTCCTGAATCCTCCCCAGACACCCGGCAAGCTCCATGCCTCACCATGTCCCCTGAACCCCTACTGGGGGAGGGCCCTTCCACACTCTCGGGGTAAGCTTTGGACTCAGGCCCACTCGGGTTGGAATCCCAAGCACAACTGTCCATCCTGTGCCAGCCCCTTCAACCATGACTACAGTTCCCTTCCTGCAGCAGGGCTGCTCGGTAGGGTCCACAGGATCGTGTGTACCTTGTGTGCCATCCAAGGCCACAAGGGGCTAGGCATTGAGGAGGCAGTAATAGAAGCATCAGTTCCTGCCTCTGTACTCTGTGCTCTGGGTGAAACAGTACCTCGCCCTCCACCACCTCGCTCCCTGCTGATTTCAAGTAGGCTCCAGCCATTTAGAGCTAGAAAAAAGCCCCTCTCTTGCCTGTGGCTCCCCACTTGCCCACTCAGCCCCCTGCTGTGGGCTCTGCCCCCTCAGCTGGGGAGACTGCGCTCTCTGAGGGTACTAATGGCTTCTCCTGCCTGGCACAGGACATTTCCCAGTTCCAGGGGCCTCCACCAGTATAGCCTGCAACCCCAGCTTTGGAACACTGTGATCCCTGTAGCCCTGTGGTGGTGGTTGGGGCAGCTGGGAGATGCAACCGGGAGCACCTCAGTCTTTAATCTTTGTTGCTGTGACCCAGGCCACTCCAGCTAAGTGGCTCTAGACAGATCACTTTCCCTCGCTGAGCCTGAGTTCCTTCATCTGAAGTGTGTCTTTAATGACATTTCTCTTAAGTGCATTACAATAACTAAAGTAACACTGGGGGCCTCCCTGGTAGCCTGGGGTTAAGTCTCAGTGCTATCACGCTGTCACCTCAACAGCCTGAGTTGGATATCAGGGCAGGCAGGGAGCGGACTCACGTGGCGCAGCAGACCTCTCCTGTCTTTTGCCCACTGCTCCCCTCAGCAGTATTTCAGTATTTCAGCAGATGTACCTGTTCTAC